AAAAAAAAAAAAAAAAAAAAAAAAAAAAAAGTTGAGCTCGAATGGATTTAACGTAGTTCACAAACTCATCGTTCTCATAACGTAGAGGGCAGCAGAAAATCTCTGACTTTTTACACTATCGGTATTTCAGAACACGAGACACGAAGTCCAATAAGATGGTAGGTTTATCCTATACCTCGTCGGTGCTGAAACCCAAGACTCCTTTCTAGTACGTCTACTTTACAGCGAACGGACGGAAGAGAATCCGTTCACGACCATGGTCCCTTCTTAGATTTAACGTAGTTCACAAACTCATCGTTCTCATAACGTAGAGGGCAGCAGAAAATCCCTGACTTTTTACACTATCGGTATTTCAGAACATGAAACACGAAGTCCCATAAGATGATAGGTCTATCCTATACCTAGTCGGTGGTATCACCAAGTACCACGACGCGTCTGATTGAAACTCATTGAAGTATTTTCAAATATTTATAAGCTCAAATATTGTTATTAAAAGTTTAAAAAAAGAATAAGTATACGTGATAATTACGCATATTCAGATGACTTAGGAAGAAAGTGGAGCAATGATGGCTTCAATAAAATTATGTTCGAATGTAAAAAGTTCATCAAGATTCTACATGTTGAGGTTAAAAAATCCTTTGATTGAACATGGGAAAAACTTACATCATTTTCGGCAAATAAGAAACATTGTAGCATGGTGTCACATCTCCGGTGAACAATTTAATCAGTATAACTTTGTACAGTTGAATACTCTTAAGAGCTTTTCTACTACAAGAACACTGTTAAAAGGTAAAGATCGTGGCAGAGACAAAAAGAAGTCACAAAGTGTACATACAGATTTGAATGAATTAGCTGAGGTTGTAAGTGTTGAGCATATGATGCAACAATTTGATAAAGCAATAGAACAGTATAAAGATTCAATGATAAAACACGTAACTCTACGTACTAGCATAGGTGCTATTGAAGAATTAATGGTAAAGTGTGATGAAGATGAATATCAACTTCAAGAGATTGTACAAATTGCTCGAAACCCTAAACTCATAAAATTGGATGCATCTATATTCCCAGAAATGATCTCACATATTCATAAGGCCCTCTCACAATCTTCAATGAATTTAAATCCACAACAAGAAGGTACAACAATATATATTCAAATACCTAAGTAAGTATTTCATTTATTGATAGAATACTCATCAGCATATAGGAAAGGCTTAATTTTGTTTCATAATTCCATAGAGTCACCAAAGAACATAGAGAAAATTTGGCAAAGACAGCGAAAATATACTTTGTGAAATGCAAAGATAACATTACTAACGTACGAAATAAGTATACGCAGGATATAAAAAAGAAAAAAAGTTTACCTATTGATTTAGCTTCTAGAGCTACAGTTTATGTAGATAACATAAGTCATGAGTATATTGACAAAGCAGACAAATTATTAAAGACAAAACAAAAAGAACTTTTGGGTGATTCGTAACACTGATTTTTTATTGCTGAAGATGATTGCATTTCAAAGTAAAGGAATGGCTATGTATCTAATTTTGTAAATATATATGTACCTTAATAAAATAGTTTAACAAATAAATTACCATGGATTAACTATGAAATGAAAATTGTTAAATGCTGTTAATTACAACCGTTATATTCAGCTATAGTTTCTTAGATTAAGTATTACTTCTGACATAATGCAGAAGGGCATTGCAGAGAGTCTGGGAAGCAGTTTGTAAAGTCTCTTTTGTATGAAATCCAATACTGAGTCGTAGAAAATTGTGGTATTTTCCTGTGTATGAAAATCGTACTCCTGGTATAGCAGATACTTTGTACTCTTCTTGACACCATTTGATAAAATCAGTACCATTTACTCCTATGAGGAAGAATATTTATGATTATTATTTTGCGTTTGTTGCAACCATTTATTTGCTGTGAAACAATTTTATTTAATATTGTACATGCCTGGTGGAAGGTGGATCCATACAAAATAACCGCCTTCTGGTCGTTTGTATGAACAACATCTTGGTAAATACCGATTTAATACATCACATAATGTTGCTAATCGTTCCTGTAAAAAAAATATTTGTACACGTAAGAGCGTGCCAAAACACGTGGGCATCATTTCAAGAGAGAATTGTATATTTAATTAATTCTGGAAATTAGGCCCACTTGTTTTTATACATTCTATAAAATGATTACATTGATGTAATCACGTAAAGTAAAGTACTAAAATGTGCAGTATTCTCTAGGATACTCTACATTTTTAATTCAGTAATGTAGATTCAATTTATACTTTAATTAGGAAATTTGTAAATTATTCATTATTCATTGAACTTACTTTATAAACCTGAATTAGTTTGTCAAGGTACTCATCTTGAATCTTTAGGTGAAGTAAACTCGTGATGACACCAGAAACGTAATGATTGACTGCACCACCGCTAGTTAGGATCCCCCTGCAGATTTTTATATTTTTCACAAAAACTTAGCGAAACATCCTAATACAAAAGTCATGTACGTTTTTCAATCCTTAAATGAAAATGTCGAATTGGTTAATTAAAGCTATAAAAATAAAAGTACGAAATGGTGAAATTAAATGTATAAAATTATGGAATTTTGGAAAATGAAAATACGAAATCACGAAACACAATATATAAAGTTATAAAATTTGATGTTTTCCGCTTACGATGATCTGAATATCTTTGCTATCCGCGGAGAACATTCCATCCAACCGCAACGGATTGCTGGTGAGAGAATCTTCGAAAATGATCCATTCGATACTATGGTACCACCTTTGTACCCGGGATCCATTGGATCGTCATAGAAGAATAATCGATGGGGTGGAGAACCATCTCCATAGTAAAGTACATTATATACATCGTCGCAAGCAACCATTATAGAATGTTCACGCGCTATTTCAACCAACCGCTTGCAAGTTTCTATTAAAAATTAACAACAAAAATATATCGTTCATAGATCACGATGTAATTATATAATTGTTTCATAACATTATTGAGTAGTAATTGATAAAGTTTTAATTATTTACTAAAATGATTTTAATATTAATAAAGTTATTTCTAAAAATTCAGTACAATAAAAAGTTTAATAGAACGTTTGTAGTTTAATAATGAATAGTTTACCTGGAGGCATAGTGGTACCAGTCGGATTGTGAAAAGTAGGAATAGTATAAAACATAGCCCAAAATATCTTCTGTTTGTTGAGCAGAAATTTACCATTATTTTTCTCCTCGGCAACTATCTTTTCAAATTCATCTAAATCTACTATATCATTTTTCATCGGAACTGTAGTGATAAAAAGTATTTATTTAATATTTAAATAATAATTTACGTTACTATTAAGATATCTTGTAATATTTATATAAAGTAATTTGCAACTTCTGACCGGTAATGTAGGTTCAAGCAATTCGACATATTATCAACCTACGGAATATAATTATTGACGTCTTACTGTGAATTGAACGACCTTTCGACTTCGTGATCTTGTTTAACGATTTATCGATTCGGTATCGATTAATTAATTCTCGCAAATCGTATATACTGTACACAACTTCGATTTAAAATTCGTGGTATTCTGAGACTCTTGTACAATATGAAATTATTAATATAATTAATATAAATTTCTTAAATCAATTTTGAGAATATCGATTTTTTACTTTCAATCCTCGTTCAAATGTACTAACTATTGAAATTCTGTTCTAAGTCATAAGTTTCGTGTAATTATAAAGAAAGAAATGCCAAGAATGTTAAAAAGTTAGCCAGTAAATTATGTTTGAAACGTAAGCCATGAAGAAATATTTAATATTATCTTCTCTTCATTATTCATACTCTTTGTCTGGTTCGTCTTTGTAGAATATCAACAAAATGTGTCACTATTTTGTAGTATATATACCTGTCACTATTTTCACCAGTGGAAATTGTTTGAAACTATCCAAGGCAATCATGTAAGTGACCTCTTCTACGAAAATTACTCCGTTCGGCGAGAGAACGGTGTTTAACAGGAGCTGGAGACCGTGCGTGGCCCCGCAGGTCATGATCAAATTTTCTCTTTTCACTGGATCACCGTATCGCCTGGTTAAAAACATTGCCAATTCTTCGCGACACTCCCATAAACCTGCAGTGGGGCCGTATTGGAAGAGATAGTACTTTCCCTCTTTGTTTTCTTCTTCCTAAGACGAAGTATGTTTCCAATTTAATGCAGTGTCATGCGACGAGAACTCAAAATATTGTCTGTCATTCAGACAGATTATAAAAAAGCATACTTAATTTAGTCATGTTTCGATAGTGGACTTTATGTCAACGAAGTAAAAGCTTTAATAAGAATTGACAAAACGTACAATTTATTGTTCACTATATAAAAACCTTTCACTGATAAAATAAACTTTTTTTACTCTAATTTTTCAAAACAGACTATGAATTTGGAAATTTGCATAAACACTCAAAGTCTGATTACTTTATGAATTATTTTACTGTTTTTAGACGTGTTATATTTTTGATGGACGGTTTCTGTATTTGTTCTAATTAACGTTAGAAAGCTTTTGTTACCTATGATAAATATACTCTCGGTCATACGATATTAAGAAATGTTTGTACTATAATGTCGCAAAATGGGAAAAATATATACAATTAAAGATACAGCACTTGAAATAAACTTTTAGGGAAAAAGAAGATTTACGAAGAATTATAACAAACTTTTGGACTAATAGATGTAATTTCCGCAATGTCGTATTTTATAATTTAATAAATTGTTGTTAGTAATACCAAAATTGTACAAGAATATCTAAATATATTATGATTTTTTCTTATATTTTTTAACAATATAATAAAAATCTGGAGAAATTATAGTGGTATAGTAAATATTTATTTTTTCTTCACCAGTCTATGGTCCGTTGCTCTCTTTATCATATTCGGAAGGTTTTGAAGCAGGTCAGGACCGGGGGCACCAACTGACAAGTTTGTGGCATTTTCGTTGTACACATTAAATAGAGCAGGTCCATCGAAAAGATGCCTCAGATACGGATCGTCTATCGTTTCCATGTTAAGTCAGTTTCTATAAGAAGCGTTTAAAGAATTCTTATTAAATTCTTTGTCCTCGATAATCAATTGATTTACAAAGTATACATATATATTTTCATTAAAAAACAATTCAGAACTGAAAACTGCGTAAAAAGTTAACGACACTCTTTAATTAATCTTTTTATTACTCGTTGCTGGAGTGCGGATGCAAATATGTACAAATAGATTTGAATGAAGTAATATACATATAGAAACCGAAATCAAATAAAATCGTAATACTTTTTAATACACTGAGTTTTAATCGTAACGCATTAAATCCGCAGTCTAGTCATTACGATACACAATCTTGATTGATTTGTACAATGCAATTTAATAGCGCACTTATACTTTTTTCCCAGTCACACCTTTTTGTTCTTTGAGCACAATTGTAAATTTATGCAATTTGTTGATTACACTTTGAAAATCGTTCGTTTAACTATTCACTGGAATTTATACTCAATGACACGAAAACGCGGAGAAGACAGGATTCAAGAGCATCCACGCTGCTCGACGGTTTGTGCGTAACTGGCGATAACAGCTGGACGGATCCGAGTGGGAAAAGTTGTAATTAGTCATCATGCAATTCCGTGGGCTTACTTACGTACATACACATGTGTAAGTCGAACGACTTTGGCTCGTACTGCATTACCGATTGGTATCTTCTAAATTGTATGAAAAATAAACAAATACTTGAAGTGTTTATTTTGTAAACTGTTCATTTTTAGGCATCTCCCCTTCAAGGGTCCTGCTAAATAATTTTAATTATTATTATTATTAAAGAGATCAATTTTCTCTAATTTATACTTTGATCATAAGCAACGGTAGAGATGTTTCATATGAAAAAGGAAATAACAATTACGTATAAAAATTGGTATGCTATTTTTATATACGCATCTTCATTATCTCTACTGTTATGATCATTTCATGATAAATTTTATTTTTCACAATAACTGTCTGCATGGTTTAAATAATCAGTCAGCATTAATATTAATTATCAATGTTAAACATATCTTTTATGTATTTAGAAATTTTGATATGTCTAACATTAGTAAAAGTGTGGAATGAAAGAAACCATGAAACATTGTAAGAATGATGGTGATTCTTTATTACAATAATTTCTTTACGATAACATAATGATATTATAAAGTTTTATAAGTTCTATGTCCACAACCGAATGGCAAATGCAATTCCTCGCAGCTAATTATCCCGGCGATCAAACGTATTGTACAATTTCTAATTCACACTCATACTTTCCATATTCTTTCGGTTCACAAAGAAAAAAATGAGAAACGAGAAACATCGGAACGGGAGGGCGGAAACGGGGTAGAGGAAAATGCGGAAAAATACGTTTTCAAGGAATTTAACATTCTTCTCACTGCGCGAGAGTATCGAATTGGGCGCGTACACGTTTCCAACGACGGATAAACGCTGATCCGCTCGGCGACGCAACGAATGGTTATATTACAAAGAAGGAAATCGCTAACATAACCATTTAATAACACTTACAAAAAGGGAGAGAAAAGAAGAAATAGACGCAATGTACAGGATACGTGTTCGCTTACATCGGTTAAGAATAAAGATAATTGCATTCCGCGTGCGGCGAGATTGGAAATCCGTGCGATACGTTTTCATCGACCAGTGGCGAACTAACCGCGTTTAAAAGATAGAAGAAAACAAGAAAATACAATTTTGCATATAAAACCTTTTTTTCCCGTTTATCACAGAACGACCGCGCGAAATTCCCTCCGAAGGCCCGTATTTATCGTCGTGAATGAGATCGTCAATCTCGCGGACGCCCGATGCACAATCCCTTACAATTTACAACAAACGAAACGCCAAACGCAATGGGGGAGGGATGACGCCATTCACCTGGGGGAATGCTCCCTGTGACGCGAACACACACATGCAAGAAAAGCTGTTCGTTGTATCATGCGTTTCCTGTACACAACATGGCACGTCCTGATCCTTAATTCGATCACGTGACACAGCGTAACTGTGGCACGCGTAACCCCGCGCTGCGCCCACTTTCTTCCACTGTATTTTTTTCCATATTTCCGCTTCGATAAAAAAAAAGAAAAAAAAACAAATACGTCACGGATTCGCTTAATTTACTCAAGTACATTTCCGTTCTTTACATTCGTAAAAGTCTTACGTGCTAGTCGCTAGTCTATTTACAAGACGCGTTTTATATAAAAGTCGAGATACATCCGTGCTTGGCTACGGCCAATTTCATTGGTCCCTTTTTTTGCGAAGGCGATGGCATACAAAAATATAAGGGGCAGGGGTATCGTAATATTTAAGCGGAGTCGCGAAACGAGAACGGTTCCTCTCTGCATTCGTTTCTTCGCCCCGTAATTCTCGGGGCTTCGATTCGTCGTGTCGCGACTCGGGATCTATTCGCGGATTCGGGCAGTAAATTATGACAATTCGTTGTATTGTCGTAGCTTACTGCGATATAAAGGGGAAAGAGGGGGGGGGAGATAGTAGAACGTTTCGTATCACAGTCAACGGCGAACCGCGCAGATGTTTCGCACCGGGGACCCTCGAAATTTCGTCAGATCATTCCGTTAGATTGCAAAACGGCCCCGCGGTGCAATTTTTTGACATCTCATGATTCGTGGTGGATCGCGTGGAGATCGATCGCCGCGATCCAAATTTTAACGTAAAAATATGAAGAACAGAAAGGGTGGGAGGGAGGGGGAAGATCAATGCTCGAAAAACAAATTTCGATCTCGTATCTCGAAGATGGTCCATGCTCGCGAGGGGCGTGGGACCGTTCTTTCGTTTCCCGCAATTAAAGAAGATTCTTTCTTTCTGCCGATGAAACCGTGGTAAGAGATTTGTAAGCAACGAGCATGGACCCGGTCGAAGGTCAAGTAGAAGGTAGACGGTTGTTTATGCCATTTACTGTACGTCGATCCTTAAAGATAGCCCTAAACATGTAGTAGACAGTACTTTTATTTACAAGCCACGGCGAATGGCACATTAAGATTATCTTTGCACTACTTGTTCGTCGTACACGCGCGCGCGCAACAGTTCGTCGTGCACGAAGGTACACACGTTTCCCTCAATTTGCTGGGAAATTAGCACAGTCCTCGCGTTTTACGTCTAATCACAATCGAACACGGCACTTGACCGAAGTGTCCTTTCTAAGTACTTTGAAGTTTCCTAGAGACGAGGAACCGGATTACGCGGTTCATCGCCTCGTCCGTTTAACTTAAGTTCGATCCCTAAGTAACGGACGGTCGTACAACACACAGTTCACCGGTTCGAACTTGGAACAACGGAAACAGTTATTTTTATTTAGAAATCTTCCTGGAATCAGACGGTTGTCTCGTTCTTCCTGAGCGGCTTCAGCGGCTGCAACTCCCGTTCCAGGCGGTCGAAGTCGTTGTAGTACTCGTGGTCGGATTCCTCCTCTGAGCTCCTCTGCCTGACTTGGGATCCGAAGGTTCCATTTGTTAAGACCTTCTCCAGGTCGGGGGTTGGAATGCCTAATGTCTGCGGGGTCAACGGTCCTTCGTCCTGGGACATTATGTATTCGGGATTGTCCAACGACGTTTTCCCTTGAGTGGTCAGAAATTCGGGGTACTTCCGGTAGCCGTTGTTTACTCGTTTCGGTTCGGTATCTGCAATTGATAAGAAATCACACGTAAAAAATGCATGGCCATGCATTAAGCGTTTGGAGTGGATACAGATTAGATGTAGACTACGTTACTGTAACAATGTGCTGAGACACATGTCTCTCGAATGAAAAAATGTCCACATATATAACAGAATATTAATTGTGCTTACCAGCTGGCTTCGAGTCCCCTATGAGATCCATGTACTGCGTTGTGTTTGTTGGCAATTGCGGCGATGGCATCAAGTAATCGTCTTCGTCTAATGGCAAGTCTAGTTTCAGGTTCCCTACTTGAGCCTGTTGATGCGCTGAGTTTACATCGCCGTCGAAACAATCATCCGTGACGTCGCAATCTGGAAGAAAGTAAAAAATCGAATTATAATTTTATAAAGTCTTTTTAATATGTAACTGAGTATACTAATTTATATCGAAACATATGCGATACAGCCTGTTATTCTATTGTCATCTGTTCTTTATAATTGTACTATAAAGACTTTAATACTTTGCTACTGCAATTACAAATACTTTATTGATTTATGGTATATTTCCTTAAAATTTAACTGTCTTAATACTTCAGAAACGTTATAAATGCGTATATGATTAAAATATTAAAATTTCATTAAATTATATAATATTTCTAAAACTGTTTCAGTACAAGACCTAGAATACTTTGGACCGCAAGTGGTTAATCGCGTATAGAATCTGGACTAATAAATCACAAATTTGTTGTGAATAAATATCTGACTCTCTTCTTTATCTTTACTTTGTTTCTAATGCAAGTATTTGAAAACATTATTACATATTTCAAATCACGTATTAATAATGTTAAAGAAATTTTTTCTATATATTTTTTCTTTGTATATGTATATTTTGCACTGGTTCTATAACTTTACATTTAAACGAATATTGCTCATCGAGCTTTAAGATTTCATGAAAAATATTTATTTCAAAGATTCAACAATTTTGTAGCACCTTATATCTACTATATATTCGATAAATGTCCCAACATTTATGGACGGGAGTGTGCATAATATTCACAGGTTGAAACTATTTCTTCATTTACGAATAATGTACGCGATAATTATGTCTATTAAGAATCGTTCTAATTACACTTACCTTTAACACTAATCATTTTCAACGGGTCCGAACAGTATCTCGAGCTGGAACCATCCGATCCCACGGGATGTCCGCAATGGCCGTTCGGTGGCTCGAAATGCGGGTGCTGACCGGAATTTCCTGGCTCGTGCGACGCGTTTCCGTTTCTATGATTCGCGCCGTACCTCAACAACTCTCTGTCCCAGTTCTGTTGATTCTGAGGTGTAGGTGAGTCCGCAGCTAGGGGTTTTATACTTGGCCAGCAATGAGCAGTTTGCACCAGCGTATTCGGCGGAGAACCGGAAGTACTGGATGCTGAAAGTCCCGGCGGAATCGGGGCCCGAGATTTTGGCTGAAGATACTCGTCGGCGTCTACTAACGCTTCGGGACCATCCATGGCGGATGCAAGATTTCGAATCATTTCTTTTTCGTCCTGCAAGCATAGAAAATTATAATGTAGTAAATACATTGGACATCAAAATGATATATATTTTGACATATCTATCTGATCGATCGATAGTTAAAAATGGTTAATTAGTACGTCCGTTCTTTATTTGCGTGTATACTTTTATCTGACATCAATTTTAAGTGCAATATTTTTCATGCATAACGGTGAAAATTACTACTTAATATATAAATATAACTTGAAACGCGAACGAATTTCTGATGATCGATAGTTAAAAATGGTTAATTAGTACGTCGGTTCTTTGCGTGTATACTTTTATCTGACATCAATTTTAAGTGCAATTTTTTTTTATGCATAACGGTGAAAATTACTACTTAATATATAAATATAACTTGAAACGCGAACGAATTTCTGAACATTAAATAGTACAATTGATATTTGGTATACTGAGATAAAGTATTTAACACTAGAACTACCGACGATAAACGCACATTTGCTTCGATTGGTGGATAAACGTAAAAAACTTTTGAAAAATTAAAAAATTAGGAATTGACTAATTTCGTCACGTTCATATCGTAATAAAAAGTGCAAAAGGTCTGAGAAAATGTATTGTCATAACATTTTAATCGTCGTTGTAAGATTGCATTGACAAGTCATTTTGACTTCCTTGGTAGTTCTAGTGTTAATATATATAGGTACAAAGCAGTATACTTGAAAGATTGTAGTATTTTACACTCGTGCTACCAACCTGCAATGTATACGAAGGAAGTTTCATATATTTGTCGCCTTTGATGGCAAGATATCGACCAGGATCTCTAGACATCCTCGCGAAGTCCTCCGCCAGCTCTTTGAAGCTAGGCCTGGACTCTGCGTCAAACATCCAGCACTTGACCATGATCATGTAAACATCGATCGTACAAATCGCCGGCTGTGGTAGCCTCTCGCCTTTCTCTAGCAATTCCGGCACGTTTCTAGCAGGCACGTTCTCGTACGGTCTGCCACCGTAAGTGAGAACCTCCCAGATGGTCACACCGAACGCCCAAACGTCGGACTTGTGCGTGAACACTCGGTGCTGAATGCATTCCAAAGCTAGCCACTTGATCGGCATTTTACCACCGGCAGCCTTGTACTGTTCCTCGTTAATATCCAGAAGCTTGGCCAGTCCGAAATCGGTAATCTTCACACAATTCGGTGTCTGCACGAGAACGTTCCGTGCCGCTAGATCACGATGAACCAGTCTTCTTTCCTCTAAATAGGCCATCCCTCTGGCGATCTGCGTGCACCAATTCAACAGAGCCTTCGAACCAATTTTGTCCTTAAACGTACGCACGAAATCCAAGAGACATCCTAACGGCATCAACTGAGTGACTAGCATCATCTGCGATGTCATGCAGACGGCCAATAATTGAAGCAAGTTCGGGTGTTCCACGCTGGCCATGATATACGCCTCGTCGAGAAACTCTTTAGAGGTGTTCGCTCCTGTCCCGTCATGTAGAACCTTTATAGCTACCGGTATCTTTACATTTTCCCCTTCAGGTACCCAAACACCTTTGTAGACGTTCCCAAAAGCACCGTAGCCTAGAATCCCTCCTTTTCGCATTTCCTCCTCCTTGATGATACGTAGTTTCGCTAGATTCGGCTTGACGCCAGTCGGACGAAGCGGCTCGTTGTCGTCAAATCCGGTTAACGCTATCGTCATCTTCACAGTGTTTTCCTTTGCTTTTACACGTACACGCCAGAAGTACATAATCACGGCCGCGACTACGACGAACACTAGAGTAAACACCACGACACCTGCCAAGATAGCCGGTTGAAGCTCGTTGTCAACTTGAAATCCAAGGCCGACCATTTCCAATGAGCAATAGGGCTCGCTGCCCTGCGGGAAGATCTTGTGGGGGTATTCCGGGGGACACGTTTCTGTGCAATTGAAGACAGTCACGTTTCCGTCTATATCTTCATCCTGAAAAGAGGCGAAACATATCAATCACAGACACCCGACGATATATCATCAGTGATCAAATGTCGAATGAAAAATAACGTAATAATTTCGAATAAGTGGATCGAAACTGTATCTACCAAATACATTATTTATATCTGAATGTCTTGCCCAAAAAGTTGCTCTCTATTTATTATTATTAAAAATAAATATGTTAATAAATATAGGTTAAGGACGCGTTTGAAATTAGTTGAAATAGTTTGAAACATATCAAGTAAATAAATATATTACTTACCACGTTAATTTTATAGTTCCGACATTTATAGCATTGGTTAGGGCCCGGTCCGAAGCATCCTCGACATTCGCTGAAGCATGGTATGCAAAGTTGAGTGTCAGCGTCCGCAAAATGATCCGCGGGACACTCGTCTTCGCACTGTTCGCCCTTCTTGTATTTCGTACACTCTTGACACACATGCTCATGGAAACCGTAACCGGTACATTTCTTGCAACGCGGGTGGCACTTGCGGCAGACAGCTTTTCCGGCTAGAGGCTTGAGGGCACCTTGTTCCTGAGGACTCACCCACTCGTAGTAATGTCCTGTAACAAATGTTTTAATGTTATTAATGTTTCAAATACATATTTCTTATATTCATTTGTTAGACTCATAGTTCTCTGTTCCTTTGTTGATTTACAAAAAAATACCGTAAGAAATAGGAAAGATAAAAGATGAATGGTGGACTTCAGAGAGTATATGCACTTTTGCATACTGTATCGTTAATATTTGTGCTTGTTACGTTTTTACTAGTATTAAGTTAGGTTCATTCATTCGATAGATTTTATTCTTGTGAAAAGACATGGAGAAATTAATCCATGGATGGTGGACTTTTTGGACCTTTTGGCTCCTTGAACGTCATCTTTTCGGTTATCTGTATACTGCTAAATTTTGATTTCTCCATTATTCAACTTACATCTTTATGTGTCTCTGAGTGTGAAAGTGTTTAAATAAATAGCGGTCCCATCGAATATTGGGCCCGTCATATCATCAATGGCCCACTTACCGTCAGGACACGGTTCCCCTTTCTGCAGACATGCTTCAGGTACATGGCTGTCCATGATCGCCTTATCGCAACTGTGGCATCCATTAGGTCCGATGTTATTCTCAGGTCCTTCGCAGCCGCCCACGCAGTTCCCGTGGCAGTCCTTGCACACGCCGTTGTCGTTATACTTCGAGGACGGGCATTCGGGCACGCAGAATGGACCGTCCCTGGCGTGTTTGCATTTCGTGCAGTGGTCCGCGTTCGGCCCTATGCAAGAACCGTCGCATTCCTCGTGGCACAGCTTGCAGGTCTTCTCGTCCGCTCGGTAAATTCTAGAAGAGAATAAAAGAGGACCACCGTCAGATCGCTCTTCGAATTACGTATGGTAATTCTTCGTGAGTAATGCGTGGCTGCGGGCATGTGAAGCGAAAAAAAGCTTAAATCTCCTCAGGCTGATTTACCTTCGATCCAGAATCTGAGGTAGGCGAATTTAATATAACAGAAGTGACATACGTTATTCAGTGATTCGTACAAGTTTGTTCGATACGTGCTCGAGTTTCTTTTTAGGTTCTATTTACCCTGGCGCGGTGCAATCTTGGAGACAATCATTGCCTAGGATGAAATTCTTGCAGGACAAACATTGCGCCGGACCGGGTCCCCAACAGCCCTCGTCGGAACACTGCTCGTCGCAGACTAATCCATCTTTTACTGTAATGAAAAGAAGATACTAAGTTTAATATACAGTCTCTATTAAAATTAAGTGTATTGTCAATTATCAATATTTCCAGTATGAGGAATATTTGACTGCAGGACAGAGCATAGAAGCAGCTTTGGACGAATTATTTAACACTTTAGATGATACGAGCGTGTGTACACATTCCATGAATTGGCCGTTTCGAGTGCTATGTACACCCGCGAGCAAACTCGGCTTCTACTAGGGGAAACAGTAACGTAGGGAACATGCCAAATTTCACATTCGATTTAATATTTATATTTGTAGTTGAAATAAATTTATCAAGTGGCGGGAGGCCGTTTCCCTTCGCCACTTTTTCCCCTAGTGGAAGCCGAGTTTGCTCGTGGGTGTACGTGTATATGCGTTTCATAAATAGTAGTAGCGCCATAAACAGTAGAATGTGCCGCACACACGCGACCTATTCATTAAAAGTATTGCCGCACCGAAAGGGTTAAGGAACATGTAATAAATAAATGTTGAAGATTTCGAAATTCGTATATTACTGGAATATTTTAATTTGTTAATATATATTGAAAAGTAAAAAAGTTTCTTTTAATGATATTCTCATCTTTATGAGCACTGTTAATTCGCAGCCTATCTCTTGAATTCAATACTTTTACAAAGAAATGGTATTTCCAGTTATAAATTTTTATTCGGAATAATGGGACACTACGTTTTCCATAAAATTATCGACACTTTCATGATACAAGAACGCAAGAGTTTCTAAGTTCCACCATATTTCTCGTAAAAATGCTAGTCTTCACCATTTTAGTCAGGATAAGGCAGAATGAAGCTTAAGAACTCGAGGAACAATGATTATACTCACTGCATTCGGTCTCATTCCGATTATTCGACAACAAACTCTCATGTTCCGACGACTTCTTGATCCTCGTCCAGTTGATACTTTGCGCGTAACAGAGATTCTTGTTCTCCAAAATGGCGATCGATCCCGAGTAAATTTTCTTCAGCGAGCTAAGTCCGAACGAGACCAACGACGTCTTCACGATATACAACGAGGCGAAGTATTCCGTGAGAGTTCTTCCGCCGATCACCTCGAGGTTCCGGAAGTAAGAGAGGTTCTTGAAGTCCTTATGATCCCCTTGGATGTTCAAGAATCCAGTAATCTCCTTCAATGTGCTGAACACCTCCAGCTTGTCGGGATGCATCTTCTCGTAGCGTTTGCCGAAACTGAAGTTCGGATAGACATGTTGGAAGCCTTGGAAGCTCTGGTCCAGGATCGTGATCGAGCCCTCGATGATCGTGCAGTCCTTGAAGCTGTCGATGTTCCCGGAATGCACTTTCTCCACGCCTCTGCAGGTTTTTGGACAGGGACCGTCGCAGGGCACGCACTCGCCGTTTAGTGCCTTTTTTTTCGGTGGACAGGATCTTACGCAGGCGCCGTTGTCTTTCAGAAGGTGTTCCGGACACCTTCTCACGCAGGTTGCACCATACGCGTATTTCCCGTCCGGATTAGCCTCCCACGAATACGTCGTTGGATTGTACCTGAAAGGAGCGTCGTTTCAATACCCCGGGGGTCGTAAACTTTAAACGGGAAATTCGATTCGCGAGCGGACTTGAGTCCCGATCTAGCAGAGATTTATCGGCAATAAGTTTGCTATTGTAAAACGATACGATATTTTTGAAAAGCGTCCGTTAGACGCGAGACATACGCGTATTACGACACGGATTGACAGACTATTCCGGGTTTATCACTTAGGATTACCGTCGAGGATATTTTAGTGCTGCGCGAAGTTTCGCGTTGTTGCGGTCCGATTTTTATTCCCGCGAGTCTAAGGATAGTGTTTGGTAATCGAAGTACATAAAATACGTGGCTTTGTAGAGCTTGAGGGGTACAAATTCCTTGAAAAATTCAGGCACAGAATACTTTCAATTATAAGTAGAAATATTATTTTCCAATTTAAGTTGATTATTTCATTGAGGACTAAGAGGGTACTACATATACATATAATAATTAATAGAGTAAGTAGTATCGAAGTAAAACAGGTTTTGTATTAACTTTCGAACGGCAGTGTCTGGTCCATTTTAACCCAGGAATTCAGGAATTTCACTATCCCAGCATGCAGAAACGAACGAAAGCTTAGACTTCTTTATATTAGCATTTTCTACGAAGACGTGAATGTTTTCAAAAAATTCTTCTCAAAACATATCTGAAGATAGATGAGTAAGTGTCTATCTGTACCTAGGTACCGCTATCTATTCGATCATCAAAAACGTCCGTCTTCTAAGAGTTAATGTAACTGTTCGTCGAAGTTGCAAAGGTTTAGACATCTCAATCTCGTTCGTTCGGCGTTAACGTAAAACGGAAAACGGTACTACCATATTTCTCGTGCGAATTTCAGTAATTATTATTCGATTCCCACGATCGAACCGCAATTAATCAGCGAACGTAGGTGAATGGGAATTCGTCCGCGAAGGAGGCTACACGATAAAGCCCCATGATGATGGGACGTTGGTCTACTTACTTTTGCATGGGCGGGCATTCCACGTCGTCGAAGAAGTTCTTGCAGGCGAGACAGTCGCTCTGTTTCGGGCCTGTGCAGCCACCGGCGCAAAAAAGATGGCAACACTCGCGGGGATTGGGCCCGAAGCACCTGCCCTGCCAGCACTGGGGCGAACAGTTCGTCTTCGAGTACCTCTGACAATTCTCGGGCCCCTCGCCCCAGCAGCCCTGCTCGCAGCTCTTATCGCATTGCGGACAGACCCGTTCTGGAGACGTGAAATTGTACACGTAGAAATACGTCCCGCTCTGGCCGGTGATTATTTCGTCCCAGTTGATCGTACGGATATGGCAGAGGTTGTAATTGTTGTACATGCCCACGCTGCCGTTGAGGATGTCTGGAAAAACGACACGTGCGATACAAGTCTGGTTGCCCGCGCACGCTTAACATCGAGATGCTAATAACAGGGCGCGATGCGGCTACGCGGTTGACGTGTGAGGATTTAATTGCACTATATTGTACGGGGACTGATTTTTACCGTGGTTGTAGATAGTGTAGGAAATGAGCGTAGTAATAGTTTTGTTGAGGCATTGAACTCGAGAGCATAGACATATACAAGACGGAGCATGAACTGAGCGGGGGAGTAAGATTCGCGGTAAGGGGGTGGTTAGTTATAAATCGGGTAACTTCGTTCCATTTCGGTGCTATTCGGGTATACAATCACGTTAAAAGACATGTATGCTATGAGGGATGAAAAGAATATACTTATTATACGTTAAAAATTCCGTATGTCATGTAGTTTGTATAGATATATGTATTTAACAAAATTAATAAATAGTATAAAGAATTAAATAATAGTACGGCACACAGCCTACCAGCCATTAATAACGAGCCGAATCGAGCCGAATGCATCCGAAGCTAACCGACGTATATCTAACGACCGCTGTCTTTTCCCCTCCAATCCTACGGTCCCATCGTCCAAAGTGGTAGCTAATGCTCCGTCTATACATATATTCTGCTGTCGCGATAAATGGAAGGATAGTGTTCTGTATACGTGCTTTTAAAGATTCATTGAGTTTAATGAAAGATAAAATTTAATACATGATTTAATATCGTGTAACTGAGAATATGAATGGTTCCACTGTTACATACCACATTTTCGAAAATTCAAATGTAGTGATGTGCAATCGCCTCGGAAAACTAAGTTAACGACCAACGGTATTTAGTACGATATTTTGTCAAAATGCTGCTAAAATAAACGCCGAACACGATAGACAATCTACAATACATGACAAAACAAATACAAAAACGTCTCGTCTCATTGGTTCTGAAGTGAAACAGTTTATAGAGAGCGTTGGTTTAGAGGCAAGTATATCTTGAAGAAGTTTATTTGATTGTTTACGTAGTAAAATGTAATCAACAGATTCGTTAAAATTTAGCTAGTTCTTAACACCGAACAAAAATCGTGTGACTTATATGATTCCTGTTCTTTACGCTTCGAGACCGTTCATGTTGGTACCACGCATTCAAATCACCCAAAGCACTTTTAACACTAGAACTACCGAACCCATCAAAATGACGGATTTCAGATTTTTTATTTCACAATTCCTGAAATTCTAGAGATATTTTCATCGGAATTTATGTTAACCTCTAATTTCTTATACATTTTACATTATAGTACCTATACTAGTTATATTACATTATATGTATATCACACGTATTAATATATTACACAATTTAACTTAGCATACATTCAATGCTGGTACTTCTAGTGTTAAGTGTGACGTTACATTTACGACTGTACTACGCAATAAACTAACCATTTTATACATCTGCCGTTTCTATAAAATTTACAATTTATTGATTTGTGCATGTCTCTCGTAAAAAAATGATTAAAATTGCTACGGAATTATGTAATAAGCTATTTGGATAATCTATACTCTACGTTTTTAAAACTATTTCTCTGCATTTCATATTCAGTAAGTAAAATTTGTTACCTCTGAGAGCCGGCATCTCCAAGTTCTGCATCTGACACATCGTAACGAACAAGGCGAACTCCGCGTCGTGAATGTTGAGCTTGAAGAGTGTTCTGCCGCGTATGATTTGCAACCGCGGCAGAACGATCTTCCGGACGTCCACGTGGCTGATGAGGACGTAACCGGTGACTTCTCGTATGTACTGGAGGAAACTGAGGTCGAAGGTCTCGTTCTGGAGCCATGTGATCTCCAGGTTGCCGTCGACATAAGTACAGTTGGTGTACCGGTCTCGAAGATTCCGGTAATGGTGCTGCTTGTTGGACGGAACGGAGAGGCGGCCATTGGTTCCGATGCAAACTGTAACAAAAAATAGATTCACATTTAGTAAAAGTCCGGAAGAAGGAAAATTGATTCATGTCCAATTTGTTCCGATGAATATTTGTTTCATTATTTCAGTCAAGAATTTTGTGCTGAACTGTACCTTTATGCAAATTCACAGTTTCATACACTGACTTAGGAAAACAGAGATTAAATCGAAATTTATTTCCAAAAAAATAGTTCAAAATATGTTGAAACTGATTTTTTATGTTTCCTGAAATTGCATGTATCGTAAGTACAAAATATCTGTAGTCTGGATCACGTTCGGGGGACACGGACTGATTTTATAGTACGATATCGAGTGAAATGAAATTATCCAATATTAGTGCTTGTATGTTCTATTCCAATAAATATAAATTGTAATCAGCAACGAAGTTCTCACGTATCGTTAATGGAGAAGAAATATAGATGATTATAAAGCCTCAGTACTGTCAGCCAATAAGCTACAATGACATTTTCTGAATGACGACTGAAACGTAAACACTGGTCGCGCAGCTTCCGTGCGTCGACGACCCTCTCGTTCATAGAATCACCGAGTGGAACGGGCTGAGGTCGCCACCCACATCGTCGAAAACGCTTCTCCGATCTATAGATAGCTTTCTAGGGTTTAAAAGCGTGCCTTGACGGTGGGCGAACCACTTCCACACATGCGAGCGTATACCTGATTTTGTTGTGCAATCACAGTACACGCTGCTTCGGTGTTTCTTGCCACACGAGTCATATGTCGTCATATGAACAGCAAGAATCATTCGAACAACTGTGTATGTAGGATTAGGAATTTAATTGTGAAATGTATTTACGACATTAATTTGAATCCAGCAATAAAAGTTTGTACATTACATATTTTATTGCGAAGATATGGTTAGTTAATATCTAGTCAATATATCATAAGCAGTATTGTTGGTGCCAATAGATATACATAACAAAATATAATTACGCGATATACACTGTCGTGTAACTGGTGGTACAACCGGGTGATTCTACGTAAAAAAAAAATAAGTTGAAACTATAGAACAAAAATGTTTTAGTTGAGACTTCATTTTCAATAAAATTGACTTTAAAAATCAATTTGTAATACGCGTATTCGTCATGATAGCAAGTAAAAACACAATGCAGTAAACAGACACGCTAGCAAAGAACGCTTATTCAATTGCACGCGTATCCAGCAGATTTTCAACGTCGATTTTCTCAAAAACGACTCGAATGAATGAAAAAGTGTTATTCTATATTTTCAACTTATTGTTTCACGTAGAATCACCTCCTACACGGTTGTACCACTAGTTACATAACACCCTGTATAAATAAAGACCGTAAATGAAAAAATCGTAAACGCTATTGATCTTGCTCCCTTTATCTGTCGATATACATACTTCTGATCATTAGACCTACAATTCATCATCACATTCTTAATTTAAAACAACACTCGTCTGCGATCAATTCTAACATAGAATTCCACGTTATGTTTTGCACTGAAAATTATTCAATGCTATTCTATCGCCACACATACCAACACAATAAAACTAAAGAAAAAAAACAATATTCCAAACCAATCTCACCACAAAACATAACTGGATCAATTACCATTCACGCGGACAACGGATCCGTCAAATATCACCACAATATCATTCATAACCCCGCTAATAACCGGAACATCGAAATAAGGGGGGCCCGGGGATCCGCCTCGCGCCTCGCACAAAAACGATCTCCGATGATCGACAGACGTCCGAACAGAAACCGTCCCCCCCGGATCGAACTTCTTCATCGGGCATTACGTCTTCGTCCCCCGGGGCGTAGTGGTCCCGGGAGCGGACGAACGCTCGCGTCCGTGGCGCATAGTCGCACGTACCCGGTCCGTCTTTCGGAATTCGGTTTTGCTGCTGCGTAACGCGGATCGCAAACGAACGCAACGTTGCGTTCCATCGAACGAAACGACGGGTCTTAATCTGATCCGCCGATCAGAATCATGCGAAAATAATTGCGCAACGACATCCTTCTTGCGTCCAATTTTAAGGAGAGGCGGGAGGGTGGGAGGAGGGTGCACGATGGAGAAGAGCGAACCGGTGCGTCATCCGCTTGGAAAAGAAGCTTCGGGGACGGAGGAACCGGGTCTTGGTATTTTGTACCGACCAGATGCTACCCTCCGCGATGCAACTTCGAGGAAGACGAATGCAGAACGCGCGTACCGACCGCGGCGCCACGGGTTTCGAGAATGCGGGTCGACGGCGGATCTGCATCAACGATCCATGGGGATCCCTTCTGTCTCATTCTCCTGGTAGTCCATCGGGTCGCGTTTCCAACCGTCCGCCGAAGATTAATGTCCTAATCGCGGTGGACGCAAAGAAAGAGCCGCGTTTCTTGCGCGAGAAACGCGGACTAGGTCCCCCTGATTGCGAGGCATCCTCGCCACATCGAGAAAAAAGTTCATTAGGGTTATTAAATTTGTCGGCATTCGGCTTGGTACCCTGTCGCGGCGTGTCCTGTTGCTTGTTTAGCGAATTTCTTGGTGCGGAGTATGTTGAAATATCGTGTTGTGGGAATGGCATCTTGGTGGCTCGACTCGGTTTGGGGATGAATGGGATTGACTCCCAGTTGTAGTGAATTGTGGCATTAAAATTTTAGAGCAATTCTGCGATCAAAATTTTGGTGTATCTTTCTTTACTTGTTTACTTCGTTTTACGGAGAATATTTGGAATGGCCACTTCTTTCCTTAACCCTAGAACGAGACTTGTATTTTTTTGAATATGTGGCATTATGGAGTCGCTGGTAACCCCAAGGGTTGTAAAACTAGTGAAGACACACAAAATTCTTCTTTTTTGTTGTTTCCTAAACTATGTAACATAGTTGGATGGCAAACAAAAGGTCAATACACAAATGTTTATTTTCATTTCTGTAAACAAGATTAAATTTCTTGTAGACGTCAGCACCTCGACAGTGTCGTTCTAAGGTTAAGGTTCCGGAGAGTATACGTGTATTCTTTAAACAATACGCCCTGTTTTCGTCAGAAATTTGTAATTTTCTTGGTTCACTGAATTTCAACATTGAAGTTCACTGGAGTATTTCAAATATCATGAAATGTCAAGAACCATGTAAAGGGAATCCATTTAGGATGGATTATTGTAAGTAACAGATACCATTGAAAAGAAACCCTAATTGACCAATTTTCCGGCAATTTTGAAACACCAAGAAGAAGGTTGCGCATTAACGCGCGAACGAAAGAAATACAGAAGAAGTCGAAACGAAGGTCGAAGAAGTGGATCATTTTTCCACTGGAAACACGGGAGGAATTTCATTTAAAACAATTTACAAACGCGTCGCGCCTCTTCCATGATCGCGAGGTATAGAACCACCAGGCGATTAGTCGCGTGTTTCTTCGAAAATTCCAATGATGTTCACATACCGAACGACTAATTAGCGAGGTTTGCGCGTATATAACGTAACTGGTCGCGGCGATTCCTCGTTGTTGTTCACGTTTGTTCGGGGACTGTGCGCGGCTGCGTGTAAAACTAGTCGAGGGGCGACTTCCGCTAACTGGAGGCGCCGTCGGTTTCCTTTTCAGGCAACGGAGCGCGGCGGTCCTGAACTCTCTCGCCTGTACATCTTCTGACTCGTCTGTCCGCGTCTGTTCGCCTCACTATTTTACAACAGAATCGTTCCTCCTCCCGTTCTTCCCTTTTATATTTCGCTGGACGTACATACGCGCCTGTCCCGTTCCACTTTGCGCCGTGACGAGCGAAACGGCGTTACGATGGAAATTCTTCGGGTGGAGGAATATAAGGAGCGCTCGTTCCGAACCCTCCGGGGATGTGTGGATCACGTTTCTCTTCTTCCACATCGTTTCTACGGAGCTTCTCGCTGGTGCGGAGTTTTACGCTCTCGCGTGTACGAGGATGATCAAAGTCGGGTTCGATTCCGTTATTGTTAAGCTGAACGTTACGTGTATTAAAATTGATTTTGCTATGTATACACAATTTTTATAATCGTATTCAATTAGTTCACGTATGTTTCATATGTTGTGGTGGAAATTAGTTGCGAATGTGTTTCATGCTTTTGCAGAAGTATGCATACAAACGCAAGGTGTTTAACACATAATCTGTAAGTAATGTATTTAATGTAAAGTTTTATTTTCTCTTCTTATGGTGCCTTCTTTCTTGTCTTTCATATGATTTGTGAGAACATGAATTATTGATAATTGCACGAAAAACCAGGCATTTAATTTATTCACTTGAAGATTCAAAACTTAAAAATCATTCAATGAAAATTCACATCATCGGTACAAGTCTCAGCCCGTAGTCACTTGTATCCTGACGCTTTACTTTGTAATTCTGGGAAAGGGTTAAGTATGGATTAAGGGTTAAGAAAAGGATAAGGGTTAATTCGCTATAAATAATCACTACCATGAAAGTCCAGTCCTCAAACAAACAGTTCAGAAACTGCCAAATTACAAAAGGATCCCGATAATGGACGATAAACAAGGGTTTCCACGACGTTTCCAAGTAACTGAGTTACGAGACAGTTGCTGCACATGGTCGGATGGATCGTGGCGCCTCAGACGGTGTGGTACGGTTGGTCTCTGATAAAAAGAAAGAGAATTCCCGCGATAACCGAATAGGCGCGTAGACAGGAGAAGAAAAGTGGTGGTTGAGGCGAGAAGTGTCGGCCGAGGTCGGCGAGGCAACACGTTCTTCGGAGAGCCGTGGCTGCTACGAAATTCATCGGCCAATTTCTCGGACATGGGGCTGCAGAAACGTGGCAATTATCTTCAACAATGGGGTTACGAAAATTACCAGGCGAGCCGTCCTCAGCCGGTATTAAAATTCTCCTAAATTCACGAAGGCTGCACGCTTCCGAAAGACAATGGCGATATCGATTATAGGTTCGGGCGCGAATTCGGTTGTTCTTCGATAATTTAGGGAATTTTAGGAACATTTTCTAGGTTGCTGGGTTTCACGTGAAATTCTTTTGCATCTGAGGATTGAGAT